AGGAACATGGAGACTGTGCAGTGTGCACTTGGAGACTAGGTCAGGAACATGGAGACTGTGCAGTGTGAACTGGAGACGAGATCAGGAACATGGAGACTGTGCAGTATCACCTGGTGACGAGGTCAGGAACATGGAGACTGTGCATTGTGAACCTGGTGACGAGGTCAGGAACATGGAGACTGTGCAGTGTGAACCTGGAGACGAGGTCAGGAACATGGAGACTGTGCAGTGTGAACCTGGAGACGAGGTCAAGAACATAGAGACTGTGCAGTGTGAACCTGGAGACGAGGTCAGGAACATGGAGACTGTGCAGTGTGCACTTGGAGACTAGGTCAGGAACATGGAGACTGTGCAGTGTGAACTGGAGACGAGATCAGGAACATGGAGACTGTGCAGTATCACCTGGTGACGAGGTCAGGAACATGGAGACTGTTCAGTGTGCACCTGGAGACGAGGTCAGGAACATGGTAACTGTGCAGTGTGCACCTGGAGACGAGGTCAGGAACATGGTAACTGTGCAGTGTGAACCTGGTGCATATTTGAAGTTATAACTAATAATAAGACGTACTTATTGCAGCTGTGATGACAAGTATTTTTGCCGATGCAGTTTACAAATAGTTTGTTAGTGTGTATATTGTTATTTGCTTTTTGGATTAAGTTACAAATTCCAGCGTCTTCTTTGTGTAGTGATAAAACTTGATTACAACAGATGTTTACTATAAGTATTATATACATGCAAACAACCAATTAATGGCCAATGGGAATAACAACATAATAAGAGGTATCTTGTTTGAGCGGTACATAACTCTAAAGTGTAAAGAACCGGTTCCAAATAAGTTTACCCGACAGAGGGAGCAGAAAAATTTTACATCTCAAAAATTGTAATCAATAAATTGTAATCTCAAGGTCTGAATATAAGATTAACCCAGCCCACCCTACCGGCTGGGGTCTATCTCTAAAAGTAAAATAAATAGAACCTTCCGGTTTTCAAGAAGATTTCCGTCTCGTAAATTTAAAGTTAGCTCCCCAGGAGCACAATTTGGGTCAATTTAGATTTTGAATTAAACCAAAATGTTTGATTTTCCCAGAAACCCTTACTGGATGGGGCCTAACTTTGAAAATAAAAGAGTTAGAGATTTCCAGTTTTTTGCATCATGTTCGTCTTGTAAAAGTAACGTTTCCCCCAGGGGGAACATTTAAAACAACGTAAATTTGGAGTTATCTACAAATCTCCAGAAAAGTGTCATTTTGGGCCGCTCAAAAGTTTGCAACTTTAACTTTGCAGATTCCTGTACTCTGATTGGCTGAATTGTGTCACGTGCTGGCTGCTTGAAGATTGGAATGCGCCACGCGTGCAAATCATGCTTAATCATTAATGTCGCGCGCGAGGTCTAGCCGTCTGTTTAAATTAAACCACTTCTTACCTGGGGACCCCAGGCTATTATGTTCATTAACATAAAATAGAGATTAGGCGGAATGACAGGCTGAGCGCGGCCCAGTAAACCACCTCTAGTACCACCACCAGCCAGTAACTTTTGCTGGGTATCATAACTGATGACGAAGTACCCAATTAAGGCTACTACATGCCAAACACAAGGATACTTCGTATTTCGGATCATATGCCTGCTGTCTATGGTCGCAAGACATGGTCGCTTCAACTGAGCGATAAATGATGTTTGAGAAAAAGTGAGCCGTGGAGCCCCACTTCTTGTCAAATTGGCTTTTGAATTACGACCCAATCATGAAGTAAAACAGTATACGCTGTATTTTAACGGCAAAATACGGCCAATTCTAGCTCTTAAAAGTTGTAGGTTTGGAGGATCAATACGGCTATGCTTTAATTCTTAAAAGTCTTAAGTTAGAACGGCCAAAATACCCTACTTGGCGTCAGTCAACTGCACCCAGAAACCCTTACTAGATGGGGCCTAACTTTGAAAGTAAAAGAGTTAGAGATTTCCGGTTTTTGCAACATGTTCGTCTTGTAAAAGTAACGTTTCCCCAGGGGGAACATTTAAAACAACGTAAATTTAGAGTTATCTACAAATCTCCAGAAAAGTGTCATTTTGGGCCGCTCAAAAGTTTGCAACTTTAACTTTGCAGATTCCTGTACTCTGATTGGCTTAATTGTGTCACGTGCTGGCTGCTTGATTATTGGAATGCGCCACGCGTGCAAATCATGTTTAATGTCGCGCGCGAGGTCTAGCCGTCTGTTTAAATTAAACCACCTCTAGTACCACCACCAGCCAGTAACTTTTGCTGGGTACTCGTAAAATATTTGTTCCATATATATATATATATATATATATATATTATATATACAGGACCGTCGACGAGTCCAACTCGGCGCGCGTCCTGGTAGGTTGTAAACCTACAACATACAACGAGTGTTGTACTGTTATAAAATATGCGTGCATCTAGCAGCTTGCATGCTGCCTGATCTGCAAATTGGCGTCATAAGTTAACGGGTGATACTCGTAAAATATTTGTTTCAAATATTTATTAGGACCGTCGACGAGTCCAACTCGGCGCGCGTCCTGGTTTACTTGGGGACCCAGGCTATTAATTATGTTCATAAACAAATATAATAGAGATTCGGCGGAATGACAGGCTGAGCGCCGCCCAGTAAGTCTTGGTAAGTTATTTAATTGACGATGTCAATTCATCTCAGCTCGGCGCGGCACAGTAGCGCATCGCGCTACAAGTAAGTTATAAACTTACTTGATTGTTGACATACGTTGCATGACACTTTTCGCGCCGCCGAAGGTTTACAACCTACCAGGACGTGCGCGGCGGGTCATACGCCGTATGACAAGGTGATAGTGGGAATAGAAGTGTAGTTGTGCAATATAATTCGACTACTACGGGTTTCATAAAAGTGTACTTGAAGCAGTATAAAGATTAAAGCTTAAGTGTCAATTACAATTTTGATTATAATTTGTAATTAGAATCATATAAGATTAGTTAAAAACTTTCAGTTTATCCATTCAAATTAAGGAGATAAAGAAGATACAATAAAAACATCAATATCAAATTGTCATACGTTGTATGACCCGCCGCGCACGAGTGCGCGGCTCCCCCTGTATCGTCGAAACTCTACTCTATAGTGAAGCGACAGTGGGGGTCACCACGTGATACAACTATCACCAATTGATTCAGAGGCCAAAAATACGTATTTCATATTTTAAGACATGTCTGACGACTCTAGTGTATATAGCAGAAAATCCCCGTAATTCAGCTTCTAGTATAACTGCTTTATCAGTTAATTTGACATACGTTGCATGCCACTTTTCGCCGCCGAATATCTCTGATATTTTTGATACGTAACATGTATCAACAGTTAATCAAATTGATCAAATTTTTAGGCACCCCTAATATCTCCGGCCGCAAGCCCTGTTGAAAATTAAAGTAATGGTGACTTTGCAAAACCTTAGCGTTAACTTTATACTCACCCAGAATTAAAGATGATGTAGAGCAGATTTGAAGCCACAATGATAACGAACTAGACTGCTATAGCATATATACTAGACTACTAGACTACTATTGGGGTCGTTCACATATTACGTAATCATTTTTTGGAACATTTTTACCACCCCCCTCCGTAATCAGTTTTCAGTTTTACACATGGCTATTGTGTCAAAATTACACTAGCGTAATCATTCGGAACCCCCCCCCCCCCCTCAGCTGATTACGTAATATGTGAACGACCCCATTATTGATTATATCGGCTATCAGCGTGGGTACCGGCGGGCTACCGCCTATACACCGTCTGCCATGCAGCTCCCTGATCTTACGCGCGAGAATAAACACAAAAGTGGGTGCTCCACAACGCTATTGCATCCGCGCGTTCCATTCAGTCAGTCACGTGTATTATTGTGCCCGAATGTTTGTAATAAATATGGTGGTAACTTAACTGGATACATTGACTTGCCTAAAATGAAATTTACATAATATTTGATGTCCAGGAGGATAAACATAGGGGTGGGATTAAAATGTATAGATCACAAGAGCAGTGATTGGCGCTTTCCTCCCAATTATGGTATTTTTAAACGAAAAACATTCCAATTTTGCAGCTTAATGTACCATATCCCGGCCAACTAAAAATATCTGGGGATACAAAATATATTTAAGGACATAAGAAAATTATTGTAGGGGCACCAAAAAAACTGGTAACATTGATAAGTATGGTAACCATGGTAACCCTGATAGGCCCTCTTACTCTGGTAACAACTGTAGTTCTCTCTTTTTCCTTTTCCCCGACAATATTTAGTAGACAAGGACGGATGCCTGTGGTAAATATTTGCAGACCAGCATTCTGCAGCACTAATTGGGAAATAATTGAACAGCTGTTACAAACTGCAATCAATGTGAGCAGACATGCGTTAAAAAACGCAGGTGCAAATAGTGCCCTACACGCACGCACGTGCAAGTGCAAGTATTTCCCAATTTTGTCGTTTTGTTCAACCTTCGAGTTTCATTGTCAGACTTTAAAACTGGAGGAACAGCGAGCAAACCAATCCCCCGCCTCTGTTCACACCACGTGATACAAATTAACCAATCAGAGCACAGTTTCCAAACCAAGACACAAATGTGACCAATGAGACAGCGTCAACAGAAAGGACCCGCTGTGAAGTAAAACAGGCAGTTTAGTAGATTGAGGGAGTAACCACTAACCAGGTTCATCTGAATCACGTGTCACGAAACAACCAATCAGAAAAGAGTATCTGCACGTATAGTGAATATTTTTGCTTTTTAATTGTACTTTCTTAACGGAAATTCGAGAGGACAGTAAATATCGTTCAAGAAGAATTTATAATGGTCCTGTTTTTGAATTTGAGGAGAGATTAATGTCCAGTTATAATTATAAGGGGTCGTTCACATATTATTACGTAATCACCCCCATCTCCCTGACCCCTTCGTAATCAGTTGTACACATAGCTATTGTATTATAGACTTATTATTGACCACAAAGTAACCCTCGTAACAAAGAAATGAAACACTGATTAAATCTTTGAAAAAGATTACATATTAGCGTATTATTGATAAAAATAAGTTACAGAGACACGCCACTCTATTTTATTATTTGTGTCCAGTAAAATATTTATCTTCCCACCGGACTTATCACTTGTCTAGTAAATTAGTTATATCACCACTAGACCAACCCCCTTAGTTTTATTGCAAGTTTGAATTGGGAGATTTGCCAAAAAGATTTTAATAATTACCAATTTATTACTTAATTGTTAGTTGTATTGCTGGTAAGTGGTAGTATATTTCATTATAATTGATTTACAAATCAAACGTTTTCCACACGTTACCATGTTTGTCTCAACAAAGTGTCTTGTTTACTAAATTAGTTATAAAATTATTAACTAATAAGTTATAAAGTTAAATTAACTAATTAACACTTGTGCGCAACACAAGTACACTTGTGCGCAACACAAGTACACTTGTGCGCAACACAAGTACACTTGTGCGCACCACAAGTACACTTGTGCGACACTTTCTGTCAGTATAATCATGATAAATCTGAGCAACAATAAGTCAGAATGTCGGATTCGTGTAGCTTCAGCAGTACTCCATGGTTAAGCACAATCTTTACAATCAACATCTGATGGTAACAAATTTACTTAGTGCCTAGCTCACAAAAACTTGCGCTAAAACAACATGCACATCTGCGCTTGACGCGCACATATGCGCTTCTTGCAAAACGTTTGGAGTATTGGTGACGCGCAAGGTATTGTGAAGGAAAATGCAGAGTATCGTGTCTTGTAACGTCTCACGTATTGTATTACGTGGAGTCGTGTGGTAGAAATTTTTAAAAAACTATAATAACAACACTTCAAAGAAAGACATTATAATATTATACTTACTAATTAAGTATTTACTAATCAAGTAACCATAGTTACCATGCACTTCATTATTGTATATATTAATATAGTTATATAATTGTATAACTAACTTTCAAGGTTTGAAAGTTTTTAGCTTGCCGAACTGTCTTCAGACTGCGTTATAATTATTATACACCGCAGAAAGCGAAATTTAAAAGGAAAAACACAGTTAATATATTTAATATTGTATAAGATTATTTTAAGTTTCGACACAACACATTTTACTTTCATAAAGAAAGTTATATATTACTGAATATTTAGTCCTTTAAAAAGCGCGAAATAACGTCACAATTACATTTCATAGTTAATCCAGTACAAATCTGAGGGCCCCTCCTCGCTACTACAGTATTCAAGTTACCATCACCAGAAATAGACAACAAACGTCACGTGTAACTCCTTTATCAAGCTCTGCAAATCCCTTGTGCTAAATTATTTACAGATCAGGAGAAAATGTGGTGAATATCCCAGTTGGAGTGTAACCTTATTACACTGTTACATTAGTGTAACTAATAACTGATATCATAATATCCCCATATTATGCAGGATAATGTTATATACTGGTTAAATACTGGACCCCACGTGATGCCCATATATGGGGCTAACTGTAGTACAGTGGAAGGAAGGCCTGCTGAAATCTTACTGTGCATCTCAGATCTTAGTACAAAAAGCTTAGTAGTTTTGCAGATATTGTATGTGCTTTATATTCCGACACTTACAATTATTTCACAGTCAAATAATAAAAACCTTTGCAATAACGGCGTTTGTCAAAGAGGCTTTACTTAGAACTACAAACTTTACATTAATCTGTATTAAAAGACACGGATGTAAGTCCCACGTGCCATGCATTCTTTCTCGTAAACCACGCGGTATGACGTCATAATCACGTGGTGTGACGTCACACATCACGTGGCATGGCGTCACACATCACGTGTTTAAATGTCTCTTCATGTGGAGAGCTAGGTGGTCACTCCTGCTGAAGCACCGGTCGCAGTGTGAACACTTGAACGGTTTTTGACCCGTGTGTTTTCTGTAGTGCCTAGTGAGCTCGTCACTGCGCGCAAATCTCCACGTGCAGCCTTCCCACGTGCATTTATAAGGCTTCTCCCCTGTGTGGGTCCTCTGGTGCGCCTTCAAGTGCGAACTCTTTGTGTAAACCTTGGTACACCCGATGTGGTCGCACTTGTGTACGCGCTTGCGCGTGTTGTCGACGGGCGTGCGCCTCATGCCCAGCCCGTAGTTAGACTCAGTAGCAGGTAGGTGAGTAAGTGGGTGCGAGTTAATCATACTGAGTCCGGGATTGTTGAGCTGAGAGTTGGGGATATTAGCGCTTCTGATCAGCATGGAGAGGATATCAGAGGTCTTGATGTCCTGGTGGATAGAGCTGGGAGCAGCGCCGCCGCTCTGCAGGCTGTTCTGTGAAGCACTGTCTAGACTAGCCTGGTAGCTAGGTAAGGTCTGATCTGGCAGCGTCATGGCGGGGCGCAGGGTGTCAGCTATTGCTCCTGTCTCTGGCAGACTTATAACCGGTCTCATGGGGTTAACTTGGGGTGCCATGGTAACAGGGTAACTCTCAAAAGTGGTGAACTGTTCCTGCTTTATAGGCGGGTGTGAAGCGGGGGGAGGCGGCGGAGGGGGACCTTGTGATAAGTGCCCCATGGGGGGCCCCATTGGTTGGAGGGGCTGCAGATTGTTCATAAAAAGGGGCGGGGCAGGCCGCATGAAATCTATCCTCTCCTCCTTGATGTTTGGTAGAGACGAGGGGGGGTTGAAGGTGGCAGGGTCCACAGGTCCATCTCCGGAACCTTTAGCTGCTTCATTGTTGAAGAAATCGTCTACCACCTGCGGGAAAATAGGATGGTTATTAATGAGACTTTTTCCTTTTGTTACCTACTAAATGTTAAAATTGATAGGTTGGTGATTAAAAATTTAGTTACTTTTGTGTGCAGTGGTTTTGCTTTCGCATTTCTAAACTTCTTTTCCAGATCGTATCCAATAGTTTACTAGTCTAGTGTGACAGTAATTAAAGAACTAAAACTAGACATCTTAGTAAGAATCCACTGTGAAGTGTATAAACTAAAGTCTCTACTCTCTATACTATGATGATCTAGACAGAGCCACTCTGAATCAAACCTCATCTTGGACCAAAACCAAAATATCAGTAATTAGTTAGACTCTAAAGTAATATTGTAAAAATAGTACAGTTCCCCCGTCCCCATATTGTAACCTAAGTAATATTGTAAAAATAATCTCCCCCTCCTCGAAATCTCGCACAGTTTCCCCCCTCTCGCTCCCTATATATAAGACGAGTATAAGACTACCAGGCAGCCTCAGTAACACGTGTTATCACGTGCTATGACGTAGTTAACACGTGCTATCACGTGGTTAACACGTGCTATCTCACCCCAGCAACCTGTCTCCAGTCATTGTTGCAAGGTACCACCATTAGTTGATTTTATATCACATGTCCTATTGTCTTACTGCTTCCCCACAATACAACACAGCCAGTTGTCACCCTCATGTGACACTCAAGATACAGATTTATTTAGAAGAAAAGGATTTATAAAGGAGTATTTATCTCGTATCCGTCATGTTGTCTGATTATCTCTTTTGTAACGAGATATTCAGGAAATGTTTTTAGGTGATGTTGTGACGTACAAGACGAATGAATCAGGCACTGCATTTTGTATGGTTAAAAACTATTCAACGGATAGGAGGGATGTAAAAGCGGGCACCTTTAACCTCCATTATATTATACATGTTTGCCTCATTATTGAAATACTTAAATTTAGAAAATTGTAACTAAAATAACCACCTTAAGGCGGGTTGTATTACGTAGGGTAGTGGTAGTAACGTGCAACTAACTAACAATAACTAAGAGACTCTACAGATAACAACTAATATCATTATGATTTATGATATCTAGTTAACCCTGCACTGTATCTTATTTGTAATATTATAATACATGATAATATTATAGTTATAGTGGAGTATTATAAGCCCGCATTGCCATTACATACTAACTTACTATTATACTAACTTACTAATTACTGACGTACACATATATCCTAGTAGTGTAGCGAGCTTATAGTGGTGTGATTTTACTGCTAATTGTGACTTAATTTCCGCACTAATTAATGTGTTGGCAGCTTAACTAAATTTGTGTGACATTTATCGTTACAAAATTGATCATCTTTAGAGTGCAATTAGTGATAATTACTAATTAGGGTAATTAGGGATAATTAACAGATTACCAAAGTTTGATAGCTAACCTTGGCAGATTCTCTCCGATAGTTTATTTTCTTAGCGGGCCGGTAAAGGAGAGGAGGAGCTTGTCTTGGTAAGTACTGTTCCATCTCATCTCGTGTCTGAAGTAATGAATAATTAACATAAATTAACATAATTAACATAATTACATACCATCAGTTTAATTAACAGTATCTACTGTAATTAGTATAATTAACACAGTTAGTTTGGACAATTAAATTTATTAACCGTGACACTTCGTATATTAAAGTTTGGTTAGAATTCTGGTAAAAATATTCGATTTGTAAGCCAAATTCTCCGTTAAAAGTGGGTAATTTAACAGTTGCAGTTTCAGTTTCAGTTTCAGTTTTAGTTTCAGTTTCAGTTTCAGTTTCAGTGACGTAGCACCACATTGCATGTTAAATCCTGTAAGGAAACAACCCCACCCGAGAAGAAACAACACGATTTCAACATTTCAACAGCTCATAAGTACTCAAAGTCCCAGTTACCACAAGTAGAGACGAGTCTAGCTGCCCTGAAGTGGTGGGGTGGGGTCCCTGAATATAATATCGGGGGCGAATTAAATATAATCACCACATATTTGCAATTCTAACACAGATAAGAACATGTGACCGGATGTAAGGATCCGAATTATTAGGCTTCTGAAGACAAACTTAATTCCGAGCAGAGTTGGTTGTCAAGAAAACAGATTTAATTTCGACATCCAAATTCCTGGCAAACACTGAAGCGGAATATGAACGTGTTTCTGATCCAAATATTCTAAATTCCTGATAACGTAAAGGAATTTCCTTCGTACGTAATGGTCCCGGTAAATATAATAAATCCAGGGTCCGTGCTCCGTGTGTATATTTCACATACTTATATTAGTTCCCTCTCAGCGGCCACGCCCTTTAAATCATGCTTTAGTGCTCTCTCTCTCTCTCTCTCTCTCTCTCTCTCTCTCTCTCTCACAGAATACTAATTATAGCATAACCTAACACTGAAGCAAACCAGTTTAGTGTGAACAACCAATGAGGGGGTCGAGGTAGTGTCACATGACAGTGAGGGTCCAATCAGGGGAGGGGTATTTTCTAATAAAGTGGGGATGATCAGGAGAGGTAGACTGCTGATAATTAATTTATTGGACATACCATTAGTGGTAGCCGTTTCGGAGCAAACCATTGTTTACTGGGGGTAGAGGGATTTCTGAATTGTTATATTACTGAACTGGTATATTCAAGTGTGAAGAGGGGATAAGGGAGGGGGCCGGGGGCTCAACTCAGATATTTGTTATTGGGATACTTAGAGTTAGAGGGGAATAGGTCCTTTTATTCGCACTATTTGAGCTTAAACAGTGAAACATTTTGGGAAACATTTTGGAATCTTGTGTTTAAGTTGAAATCAGGCACCATTATTGAAATGATTAAACACACCACTCCTTGGGTATTTATCTAGGATATTTTCACACCTCGAATAATATAAAATCACCTACAGTGCACAGTGCCAACTTCCGGAATGTAGCAAACGCATTTAAGTGAACAATTATTGAACAAAAGGTGACTCAGCTGATAACCCGCCATGACCAGTTTGTTAGACTAAACATGTAATATGTTGGATAGCCAGTAAATCAACACCATTAGGATTACGTCTTCCTATTTGTAGTACATTATTATACATTATACATTATACATTACTAGTCCTCAATTGTTTGTTACATAGAAGTGTTGAAAGTAGAAATACCAGGATTTACCAGATTGGTCAGGTTTTATAACAGGACATAATATTACTTGCTCCTTCATAAATATATTACTTTTAACTTACCATGCGCCTCGTCTTCATGTATCTTCACAGCAGCTTGATAGCTACACTGATGTAACGGATTTATAATATATAACGTAATGAATTATAACTTTAAATTACATTATTATTATGATATTGATATCTAAGAGTGACTAAATATCCACGATTCAATCTAATGGGCCTTCAGCGAGCCATCGATGCAAGATCGAAAATATCATAGACACAATTTAATACGAAACGAAACGAACATATAAGAACTTTATATATAAGAACTTTATATATTATTAGAATTTTACATTATATTATGGATATTTCAATCTAATATTGGCTCTCTAAACATCGCTTTATACAACAGAATATTATGATGTTATCATACCAGTCTTAGAATGACGAGTAGTAGAGAGCTTGAGGCTTATGTACCAGGCTAGGCTTATTTAAAAAATTCTATATTCAGTAAATCTTTGATAAATATAATACTTTTATTATTGCTACATTCTTATTCAAGAAAACCATGGACAAAATCTATCATATTCGTAAGAAGCAAATTCCAAGTGTATCATCATTGATCATAAGTAGAATGATCTCAAATAACTGTGACATAAGAAAACAATTAAGCAGCAGGTGATCATTATTATTATTCTAGGTGTCAGACCATTGTTGGTTACGCCGTGCTACAATACACACAATTACGGAATTTATATTGGACCAATCACAGCCACGTATTTAAGTCACGTGACTTCGTTTTTAACCACGAATTTAATTAAAGCTCGCATAAACTCAAAAAAAGCGAAATAACAGAGCAAACTTAACAGGAATGAAATCAATAAGAATTCGAGAGCACAAGAAATATAAGTAGCAAGCTAGCATTGCTTGCGGAGTAGCTAGTATTGGTTGCGGAGTATCTGATTTACATAGCAAATAATAAATAATACGTGATTTAATGCATAATCATGACGGAGGTGAAGCACGTCGCAGTTGAAGTATTCAAACGGAATCCAGAGAAAGAGTCTGAGATTCTAACTAGAAATATTTGGAGACACAAAAAACATATTCCAGACATATAAGTGAAAGATTGAATCCAAAGAAAGAGTTATTCCAAAGTAACAGGGTTGAGCAACTAAAGAGAGCTACAGTATATTTATATACTAGTGTAAGAGTGGGACACTACGTCACAACACGACTTTATATAGGTCTGTGGAATGTTGGGAATGGTGTGAAGTATATTACACAGTAATACTCCTTCATAAACTTACATACGCAGAGGGAGTATATAACTTGTTTTAAGAAGGTAAGTTTATGAGGGAGTAAGAAGAATGTAAGTAGGTGTAAAATAAGCTTGTGCATCTACTGAAATCTTGAAACACTTTGGGATAATACCAGAAATAAACTAAAAATGTACAGCAAGAATTTATCAATTTATTCGTGCACACGGGGCTATGTTTTCCGGACACTTCGATTACTCGATAAATGTTACTTTCCAACGCTAACATATTTAACAGATACTGCTCTTAAAACTAAAAGTACAAAAGTATAAAATCAACTGATCCAGGCTATTACACTGTGTTATAAGGTTATACACTGTGTTATACACTGTGTTATACACGTGTTATACACGTGTTATACACGTGTTATACACTGTGTATTACACGTGTTATACACGTGTTATACACGTGTTATACACTATTACACTGTGTTATACACGTGTTATACACGTGTTATACACGTGTTATTACACTGTGTTATACACGTGTTATTACACTGTGTTATACACGTGTTGTTATACACGTGTTATACAATATTACACTGTGTTACACTGTGTTACACACTATATACACGTGGGAAGAACCTGATAACATTGCACAAAAACACTACAAATATCAAAGATGAAAAATGTGTACAAAATGATTCTGACGGAATGTTGGAGATATTTAGAATGATCAATTTACCGGCGTCCTGTCAATACTAACAGCTAATGACTGACTCAGTGACTCACTAGTCACTGCTATTCCTCCTTATATATATATATTATATTATATTCAAACAGACTAAATTACCATCTTACCTTCATTTTGGAAGATTACTCTTGGTTTTTCATGCAGCAGACAATTAGCAGACACTGTCCAAACAATTATCAACCGATTATCAATCAATTAGTGTGAATTGAAGTTTCCGTGTAAATAACAATATAATATCATGATTCTCAAAACTCAAAACAAATGTTCACACTGGTATGTTACTCTCAAATTTCAAAGAGTTTTTTCAATTTGTGATGTCAAAAAAGTGCATTCTTGAATCTCTGCCCGGGGCTAGCTCAACTAAAAGTAAGTATTTAATCATACGTCATGGTGTACGGAACGAATTTAACAACTCAACAGTAATTACAAACTAACGTTAACATTTAAAGGACTACTCCAAATCGTAAAATGAACTGACGGCTGATACCCAAATGCCAGACGATACGCGGCTTGTCAAAAATTGAACAGGATTATGTACAAATAAGGAACCAGGAACAGCTAAGCAAACAGTCACGTGACGTCACCATGGAAATAGTCACGTGACGTCACCATGGAAACAGTCACCAAGCATCGCCAGTTCCGTTCTGTAGAATGATATCACGTGATACACACAGAGTTTAACTCAAGAATGTGATATAACTCATAAGACACAACACAAATACAGCTACTGCGCTTCAGTACAAGCAAAATTAGAAATCTATTATGAGTTTGTCGCATAATTAGTGTTAGCCAGTAACTCCTTATTTGGGCATGCCATTATGATGACGTTAGTCAGTATGCCCTTATCTGGGCAGGAGGTTATGATTAAAACTGCTCGACTCGACAAATAATAGTAATTTAAGAGGAAGAGCACCTCTGTTCAACGCTGGTGACAGATCAGATCTGAGGGTGGTCAAGTGGTTAAGAGGGATCTTAATTGAAATACGTCCAGATAAACGAATCTTTAATTTAGGGATTAAGAAGATTCGTAACGATAAAATGCAACAGAATAAAATATCTGGATAACCGGTATGGTTAAGTGTAATTATGAAATATACCCACGCAAATCTCAGCTAACTTGATTTGTGATTTGATCAGTGTCAGACTGAAGTGATACCTTTATCATTTTACCTATAACTCTATATATTATTATAATAATAGCATTTGACCTGTATAATGACTCTATTATATTTCATGTTTCTATAGAAGTTGTGGGGGCAGGTAATTTAAGTTTGATGTCGAGATGCAATCTTATTTTAATATAGAATGCGAAATCATGACAGGGATCGAGGGAGTTATTGAATAAAAATAAGATGATATTTAAAAAT